AACTTTGATGGCCAGTGTATTCTCACCGAGAGAAAGTACCAAAAGCTGCAATTTGGCACTTTAATATCTGTAGCTGAATTGGGTTTGGGGTGCAATTTCTGCAGCATTGCTAGTAGGAACCAAGTCTGATTAATCACTTATTTCTCCCTCCCCACAACACCACGTTGTATAACTGAAATTATCTGTCCTGAAGATAATCTCCTAAAACAAAGTGAACATAGGTGCATAGGAAAAGTCATCCTGGTGACCGTACGATTATTTTTTTTTTATCATGCAAATAAAGAAAACCTCAAAGGCTTGCTGTAAATGCCAACGTTATATGTTTTATTTTTAATCAAGTAATTCTTTTAAACCTCACAATATCCATGACTGACAGGAAAAAAAGACATTAGGCATGAAATGAGAATATAAAATACATGATATGTAGAAAGGCAATCAGTGCTTCAGTCCCTCAAGACAGTAAATAGGTGAAATGACCTTCAAATCTTCAACTGTCTTTCTCTTAAAACATAAAATTCAAGTGATTTTTCTTTTATTTCACCTTGTAAACAACATACAAGTCAAACTGGACAATGAGGTAATCTATACTACTGAAGATAATTTAAAAACACTAGATAAGACACAGTATTAAAGACATATAGAAATCAGTGTTCACTTTGGTCTCTAGTATGGTTATTGTTATTATTACCACAAGCAACACATACTAGTTTAAGCCAGTCTGGTGATGTCTGTCAGCCAGTTGTTGCTTAACTTAGTAATCCAAGAGGTAGTCAAAACCATTATCCTTTGTAAAGGTGGTTGCTCTTACATTTGGTTCAATGACAACAGTAGCAAAGACCTGGGTACTTCTCAACATTCTCGTAAAAACGCTGCCGAAGCCGCTCACACACAGCTAGGGTTTATATATAAAAAGTGTGTTCAACAGATCAACCTCTTGTTATCAGTCAGCAGTTGTAACAGGGGTAACACAACCAACGGATCTTAAAGAAGAGGCTGTTGATATACTAAGCGAAGTAAGATCGATGCATTTCACAAGGCTCAGCTTGTTTCTAAAACAATACTCAAATCTCATTAAGACTTCTAGAAAATTAAAATCAGTGCATCTGCACACGTACATATCTTCCCAATTACTTTTATATCTAGCACAGGGGAATACATATATATTTTTTTTTAAGATAAACATTTCTTACAGATAAATTAATTAAATTAAGTTTAAGACTCAATGAGATTTCCCATGTTCTTTTATAATTCTTCTTATAAAGAACGGTACAAGATCTATAAACACTTTTTATGGGGCTCTATTCACAAAACTAAGTATGACTAAGCAGGAACTCCAGGATAGCACTGGTGCAGGGCAAAGCCGGGCTGAAAAAGGAGGCCTGCAAAGGGCAGAGGTAGGATCCAAATGTGGTTTTTGGCACTCTCTGAAAGCTGGCTAAAAGCAAAGTATTGCCAATGGTGTAACAACAGCAGATTTACCATCCACTGCAGCAGAAAGTTATTTGGCTCTTCCTCCACATACAAGTCTTCCTCATGGCCTAACTTTTGTAGCACGTAAATAAATACAGTGACCTCTCCTTGGAGGAGAGTGAAAAACCCTCACAAGGTCCCTTATGATTAAATCAAATGGAGTATTTTGGGGAGGGGGAACGGGAGGAAGCGATACTCTTGCTCCAGGTTTAACCTTATCTCCACTATTGTTAGGAGAAAAACACATCTCTCTGAGCAGATATTTGAACCATTTCTACTCAAACGAGTTTTATTGTGAAGCGTCCTGGCAAGGACAGGCTGGTGAATAGGGGAAATCAAGGCTGAGCCAACGTTGCAGAATATTAATTTTGTCTGTAGATACGAAAAATCCCGAGCTCAGTCTGTGCCTCCTCCTTTAAAGGGTTCTTTGCTTATTTGGATCGGCCTATTGAAGGAGCATTACTAGATTTTTTTTTTTTTTCCACTGCATCCCAGTGCTAAGTAGTTACCTGCTGCAGCTTGTGCTGCTTTATGTTTAACATAGGCATGCACGTTTTTGTCTCTTCTGCAGATGTATTTGTTTTCGTGAACAGTGCCCATAATCCTTTAGACAGAAAAATAAAACCTTTGAAAGAAATGTTTGGAAGTGTCTCAATTTCAAATGGATGCTTCATCTTAAACGAGTATTTGCTATAACGTATGCAGTGGTGAACTATCACTTACATATTTAGTACACATAAAAAGTATGTACCATAGATCAACAGCCACCTTTAAGGCTAAAGCAGCAGAAAGGTGTATTTATGCAGTAAATATGAGGTAGCCTTTTGCTGTAAACAGAATAATAATTTTATTGTCACCTATGTAAACAAAGTGGGCTTGATGCTTTTGCGTTTCCATTCTTTCCCCTCCACCCCCCATCCCCCACCCCTCCCCTC